TTGTTAGAGCCGGGATCACCCATGTGATCGTCGCTTGCTAATGCATCACTGCTTAGCTGTCTTTTCGATCTGTTGACCTACTGTCAACTTGAATGACTACGCATACGCCCGTATGCATGTCAACTCGAATAAAACAATAGTCTAAGTAAAAAATGATTCTAATTTTATTATAAATTGATTTATGCAAAAAAATTACTTTTAAAAAAATTGTCAATTTGGGCCCTTTTCTCAGCACACAGCCCATATGTATAACTTAATTAATATACGTGATATATACTCCATGTTTTTTATCATTTTGTGTAGCAATTACTATGTATCTTTTTGATTGACGACGCCCCATGTTACTCATATTACCGGAAAAAAATTTATTGCCCAGTGTTACCTTGCTAATAAACCCCCTAATGTTCTTTGAGTCACGGGTTAATTTTTAGGTCACGAGAATACTGTGCCGGAAATGCCAGATCTGCCATCAGCCACTTATTGCATAAGAAGCGGATGTGGAATAATTGGCATAAGAGACGGATATAGGATAAATGTTAGTAATGCGATTAATAGCATAAATGATTGAACGAACGTTTATGGCATAAATGCCATATATTTTTATTAATAGACATTTTATTATATAAACGGGCGAGTTTCGCTCCACTTTTTAGGCATGCTTACCAGGGCATTTGATAATAAATATATTTTTTATTTTAATAAAGGACACTCTTTATTTGATTCTATAAAAACTACTATCCCGTATTCTTTCGTAAATTGTCAAATCACTAAACTAAAACCCTCTCGCTAAACTATATACTTACAACTTTAACAAACCACTACACGGTTTTGTGTCTCCGTGTTTACGTGACTCCCTGTTATTAGTTGAACCGTTAGCCTCGATTCCGAGAGGTAATTCAAGGTTAACACCCAGATATTGAGTTCGGACTGATTCGAAATTTTTATATTTCTTTTTTTGATTATATATCTTTTTTTGCTTTTGTATCTTAAAGACTTTATATTATTCGTTTGAGTTGCCAAAAGTCGTTGGCTAAAAAAATAGGAGAACTAAACCTCATGGTTAATAAACTAATGAAATACATTGTTTTTAAATAAACAATTGTTAACCCATTCAAAATTTCTAATCAATATTCAAAAAGAAAGATTCCAGTTTGAAGCACTTTTTTATCTTGAACGTTATGCTGGCTGTTTCTGAGAATTTTCCAATCTTTGAAAATTTTGAGCTGCTCCAAACATTCATTTACTTCCTTTCTCATTTTCAAGAATATTATGATTGTCTTGCACTGAAATATTTGAATTTGTCGTCAAGGTAAATAAAGTGGAGCAGACGCTGTAATTTCAAATGAATTTACGAGTGCATTTATATTATCTTGATTACTTGAAGAAATTTCACTATTTTGAGATGATTTTTCAATAGAATGGTGCTGACTTAAAGTTTCGTTGAGAAAATGTCGTTTTAATTTATCGAGAATTAATCTTGTTTCTGGGCGATTGGCAGGATCATTGTCCCAACATTGTTCGTAAAGTTCAATATATTGAGATGGTGTACCTTTTATAGGTTTTTCTCTGTTTCCCTGGGAAACATGAACGACGAGCGAAAATAATTCAAAAGAGGAGAATGGCGGCCTCCCACTCGAAATTTCCCAAAGAATTACTCCAAGGCTATAGACATCTGATTTCTTACTACGTTTATATTTGGGATCGATAAGGCATTTAGGATCGATATATGCTGGCATTCCATGTGCAACTGAGTTTGAGGTCTTATACGTTTCATTTATCAGCCTTGATAGCCCGAAATCTGCTATTTTTGGTTGTCCCTGATGAATTAAGATGTTCTTTGAATGCTAAATGATTAAAACATCAATAATTAAAATATAAATAAATTTATAAATATAAAATTAAGCAAAAAAATATATTACTTACAAGATCTCTATGAATAATATCATTATTATGTAAGAATAGAACTCCGAGTGCTATTTCCTCAGCAATATGTAGTTTATCTGACCATTGTAATCTTGTAAAATTTTCTTTTAGATATTCTTGTAGAGTTCCTCCATTGGCATATTGCAAAACCATATTATAATATCCATTGCAATCTATTTTCCAGAAAATAAATAATATTATTATTATTTGATGCTCAAAAACTATAAATTACATGTTTACCTTTTGTAACCCCGTAGAACATAATAATATTTGGATGGTAACAAACTTTCCGTAATAGCTTAAGCTAATTATATAAACTATAAGAATTGATTATTCTGTAGTAGAATTCAATTAATTTAATCAACAATACCTCATTAGTGAAATTTTTAATTGTTTGTTCATCTATATTTGTATCGACTCTAAGACATTTAAGAGCAACCGTTAATTCACTGTCTCCCCACGTGTATTTGAAAACTTTACCAAAGCCTCCAATACCGATCAAAATGGGGTCTATAAACTTCTTATATTCAAGAAAATTAATGTGCCCATCAAAAATAGTCTTTTCAAGCCATTTTTGTGGTATATTTGCTAGTTCTTGTTCAAGAGTTTGATATCTTGAAAGTTGATTTGAAATTAAAGATTGCTGTTCGACCAGCTCATCTATTGCTTTTATTTGAGACTTGATCTGATTGTCCATGAGTTCAATCTCGCTACGTTTTTTTTTCTCGCTCTTCTTTAGTTCATATTCGAGTTCCTCTATTAACCTATTTTTTGATATGATTTGCATCTCAAACTTTTGTTTCATACTCTCCAATTGATTAGCCAATTTTGCAATCTCATTTTCAATCTCTCTTCCACTCCTGCTAGAATGTTGCCATGAGTCACTGTCATCCGAATCCATGTCGTTTTCATTGTCACTTCTAAATTCGTCAGAAAGCCGATCTAATATTCTATTATTTTCTCTTGTAAAAGAAACAGCTGCGGATAATACTTCTGCAACATCAATAACTTGGTTAGTAGATGTTTGATGAGGATTTGAGTGATTAAAGCTGAGACTACGCCTTAATTGTCTTTTGGACTTTTCTTCGTTATTATATTTATACGGATAAGATTGATAATGCAATCTTCTATTATCATAGTTTATGAAATTGTCTTTGAGTGGAGGTCCCAGTGAAGCCGCCAGCACAGCAGCAGCATCTGCAGGAGTAACAATCTTATTTGGAGTGTAGGTCACACCTTTTGGCGGTGAATTCAGATTATGTTTCTCATCTGAAATTAAGGAATGAATTATTATTCATGAAGCTATAACTAATATTCCTATCACAACTAATAGATGATTTATATTTAGAATTAACTTTTCAACTTGTCGGTAACGAATATGAAGTGGTTCAAAGAGAAAGTAGAATAATAAAATAAATATGACTTTATGAATAAAACGTAATGTAAATGCAAAAATAATATAAGCGAATTAAAAATAAACTCTCGATTTAAAGGTAGCGAATTCGTAATTTTAAGAATTCTCTTTCACATTCTAAAAATTAGAAGTGATGAAAAGAAAAAGA